AGGTTATTAGCAGGTATTTTTTTGGCAACAATAAAATTGAAGTGAAAAAAGAAAATTTCAGAACACAGAGTTCCCATTTGTATTTCATATTCCTAAAGATCTTGCACATTGAGCTAGATAGTGCAGAATTTATCTGCTTTGGCAGATTGATAAGTTCTATTGAGTGTGGCTAGAGCCATTTCTGTTTTACTTGCCAGTGTTTCAAAGGAGTATGTGTGTATTCAGACCGTTTGAGGAAATGACATTTTAAAGCTTTTAGCAGATAATACTGAATATGCACACTGGCTGCTTCTATCCAAAGCAAAAATCCAAAACTATTATGGATTAGTTTATTGGCTGTTTTGGCCAGGATTTTGCAGCCCTGCTGGACAACTACTGAAGCTCTAAGTAGTTCTGTTTGCACTTCTAGGAATTTTTTAAATGCAGCAAGATAATTCAGTGTATGTTACCAGCTCCCAGCCCCAACTATCAAAACCAAAGAGAATTCCAAATAGAAAGATACCACGTTTTGTAATATTGGAAGTACAGTCAGACTCCAGCTTGAAGCCCATTCAGCATCACTGGAGGTACGGTGGGAATTCTGTAAATGGTGACACCATGAGATACTAAGCTTATTGTTTGCCCAGTTCCTTGTAGTTGGAAACCAAAGCATTGAAATATTACAAATCTCTTGTCCATTTGCAATTTAGTTGAGATGCGATGTATGCAAATCTCATATTGATTCTCTAATACACGCTGATGTCAGGACCATTCCACTCTCCCTCGTGCAGTAATCTTTTAGTGCAAAATCTTGCATTTGTCTTAATTTTGTAATAGAACAAAGGGAAAGGGGGGCAGATTTTAAATCTAAAATCTCACTTTTATTTTTAGGCTTTTCCCAGTTTTGGTATTGCTGATGATGCTGATGTCAATGCTATTTTAACTCAGTGTTGTTGCTGAAGAAAAACATCCTTATCTGTTTTTACATGTGAATTATTAATTGAATAAGCCTACATTTAGGGAGTTCTTTAATGATGCGTTATTCATACATAGTTTGTACCATCTGATGGTCAGACAAACCTTTGTATTATTGTTACCATTTATAGACCTTGATATTACTCTATTTAAAATGTTATGAAATTGAAACTCTGTACACTGGAAGATGTTTGGAGTTTGACTTAACGTTTGCTTATTTTAACAAACATTAGGTTTGACTTAACTTCTGGAAATACTTAATACAGCTAAAACATTATCCTTTTTAAAGGAAAGCGTACAGTATCCTCTTGCAGAAGTACATAGAAATGCCACTGGCATCAGTAAATCTCTGTGTCTTTGCGTTGTTAGGTTTCTGTAAATTTAATAAATGCCAGCATTTCATCTGGAAATATGTTCTATGGTCTTGTGGAAATATCTTAATTTTTTTAAATGGGAATCTGAGCTATAGTAACAGTTAAAGTATTGCTGTAGTAAGAGAAGTTATGCCTGAGTGGGAAGTAGTATTCAAGGAGCATAGCGTTGGCGTGTGGATAATCTAAACCGTGGAAATACCTCAGGTAGAAAAAAAATGCCGAGGATATACTCTGATAGTTCATATCGTGAGCACAATGAATGTATTGAGTAATGCTACCTTCACAGGTGATAGGAGAATGTCAGCTATTTAACGAGGAGGATCTTTGGAAACTTTTAGTTAAATCACAGTTTAAGGTTTCCCGTAATAATACAAGGAGGACATGTATTCATTATCTGATAGGGTGCTGGACTAGAACTGCAAAATGTAAGTTGTATTTGCTTCTCTGCCACTGGTATGCTGTATTGCCTCATCATGGGCCTGCTTTTACCTTGCCAGGCCTACTCTTTCCTTATATGTGTGTGTATGTTTTCTTCTCTTTCTATTTGATTTTAAGGTTCTTAAACACCTCCTCTGTGTTCTGGAATATAGTCTATAGAGTAATCAGCTTCAGTGTCCGTTGGGACTGCTAAATTCTGTTGTCATAGACATTTTCGGATAAAATGGCTTATAAAAATCCAGATAATCAAAACTAGCCAGCACGAACACAAACTGTTATGTGATGTTATTAATGGTACCACCAGAAATTAGAGTTCCTTAGGTAGTGTTCCTTGTAATAATGTCTTGATGCTTATGGTTTTCTCTGGTTTTGTATCTTGTCAAAACTGTTGGCTTTGGCAATCAAAAATTGGATGCAATCTATAGAAACAAGTCTAGATCAAACGGGAATCAGAATATTGTTTTCCCGCATTGGAGTAGCTTTAAAGAAGTGGTATGTCTTTCAGGAAGGCTTTTAATGATGAAAGGATCTACAGAGCCTTTTTTGTCTTATTTCTGCATGAGAGAGATATGTTATCTTTCAAATGATAATTGGATACAGAAATTCTCTCTTATGAATTTTGTATTTTTGTATTTTTTTGATTTAAAACAAGACTGGCATCGTTAAGAGTGCAGACATCAGAAGCAGAATAATTTTCTTTATGCCAGAAAGCTCATCCTGCTTTTCCCACCGAAACAAGAGATGTGACTACTAAAAGTCCTACAGTTGAGAGGGTGTCAAGCTTTGTGTGGGTAGCAATCTTTGCCTCTGCTGATTCCTCGATGAGTTTACCAAGCCACGCTTTGTCCCATTTTGCTGCAAGAATATTATTCCCTATATTCAGTTTTCAAGACAGCTGTAGTCTAGCTAGCAGACCACGGTGTAGTGCTGCCACCTCCTCTTTTTTTTCCCCCTTGAAGGAATACCCTAACCCTAACCCACTCCCAGCATCCATTATGACTTGGCTGTTGGCATTCCTACTATTTTTACTTTACTTATAGTAAGAGGCCATATATAATCTTCACAGATCATGATTAACGTTACAGCCACCAACAATCTTGATTTACGTTCTGGGTTACTTCAATGGCGGACGTACATCACCAACATAAATAAGAAAAATGGACTTAAAATAAAGCTTAAAGGTTTTTTGCAATTGTAGCTATACTTGCGAAGTTACACTTGCAATCATCCTGCTCTCCATAATTACGCTAAGCAGAAATTACACCCTTAGCACCCTTGCCACCACCCAGGAACCTCTGTACCTAATCTTCTCCACCTGGCCCCTGGCAATAGTATGGTATCTTTCAGCACTTACAGAAACAAACCGAGCCCTATTTCACCTAACCGAAGGAGAATCAGAACTTGTCTCAGGATTCAACGCAGAATATGCTGCAGCCTCTTCGCCCTATTCTTTCTAGCTGAGTACGCCAACATCACGCTAATAAATACACGAACTGCCATCCTATTCCTCAACCCAAGTTCACTCAACCTGCCGCCTGAACTCTTTGCATTAGCCTTAGCCACAAAGACCCTACTAGTCTCCTATGGGTTTTTATGAGTCCGAGCCTCCTACCCTCGATTTCGCTACAAGCAATTAATAACCTTCTCTGAAAAAACTTCCTACCCCTAGCACTAGCTCTATGCCTGTCACACACTAGC